GTGTGAGTGGATGGTGTGTGAGTGAATGGTGTGTGAGTGAATGGTGTGTGAGTGAATGGCGTGTGACTGTGCCCTGTGATGGGTTGGTGCCCCATCCTGAGTTGTTCCCTGCTTTGCACCCATAACCTCCAGGATAGGCTCCGGACCCCTAGAAACACTGAATAGGATAAGCGGTTACAAAAATGGATGGATGGATGGAATAATGGTTTGGCTGAAATAGGCTAAGATAAGCATGAACCTCAGAGTGACATTTCTGCCAAAGCTAACAGAGTTTTCTCTCAATTTCTGGAAGGAATCGGACAGGGGGTCCCTGTGGTGGCGCTCATCGTGGAGGGGGGGCCCAACGTGATCTCCATCGTGTTGGAGTACCTGCGAGACACCCCCCCGGTGCCTGTTGTGGTCTGTGATGGCAGTGGCCGGGCGTCAGACATCCTGGCCTTTGGGCACAAATACTCTGAAGAAGGAGGGTATGGTCTGCGCTCACCGTCAAGCAGCTCTGATTCATTACTGACTGATCATGAGGAATGAACTCTAATATAAAGCATTTCTTCCACTTCTGAAACAAGTTCTTAACAATGTTGAAACTGAGTGTTTATTATATAGCTGGTCAAGTTGTCATTTAGAGATTTTTCTGCTGATTGTGTTTATTTTTTCATGATCTCTTAATGATATATTTTTTTTTTATCCAGATTTTCAATATTAAAAAATATCTACCACAGGAAAAGAAACATAGAAGTAAAGATCAAAAAACTTTTTAGGATGTAGCTTCTTGTGTAAGGTTCTGTGAAATTGATGGAATTTGTACTTTTTAGTGTTTCTTCAAATGACTAATACATATTTCAGAAAAAAATACAAATATATTTAAAGAAATGTTCAAATTGCAGGAAGTATTTCATCTCCAGCGATTTTTCTGCAGGTGCAGTTTAGGTCTTTCAAAAAACTTGATGATACGATGATTTAATTTATTTCATCCATTTGGGCATCATTTGGCGATACTAGAAAGTGATTTAAAAATGCATTGAAATCATATTCAGATATAATGCCATTTTTAAAAGAAACATTTGGTAAATCTTTCAAGGTGTATATGATTTAAATAGACACACTTGCCAGATCTGTTGCATGAGTCTGCAGGCATTAACGTAACGTTAATGAAAAGAAAAAAAAACACCTCTATGTTAGCTGCATTCCGGCTGTTCCCAGCATCCCTTTGTTTCCTCTCCTCTTCCCCCCCTCCGCCCCAGTCATCCTCCACCTTCCTTAATCGCGGCCTGTCCCTCCTCTCCTCTCTGCTCCGCAGGATCATTAACGAGTCTTTAAGGGACCAGCTGCTCGTCACCATCCAGAAGACCTTCAACTACAGCCGGACGCAGGCGCAGCACCTCTTCATCATCCTCATGGAGTGCATGAAGAAGAAGGAGCTGGTGAGTCTGAGCTCGTGCCTGGGAATCAGGCTTCTGTCACGTCAGACTCACCTCCGGCACATATAGGAGTCAGCAGCCGCGTGAATGCGGTTACTCTGGCAGCTGGAGTCATATTTATATAATCTAACACAAACTGCTCCTATTATTATTTTTTTGGTGCTTCTCAGATATATAAATGAGAAGAAGGTATTAAAGTGATTAGAGAGTGTGTATGCAGAATACGACCCATAAAATACTTCTATCCTTCATACAAATTTCCCAAGCAGTCAAGTATCCAAAGAGGTAAACATACCGGTTAAGTTTTATATTATTGTAGTGAATCAGTGTAACATGCAGTATTACCTAAATACACAAGAAATGCTGCTTGCGTTAGTTACTGTGTACTTATTCCCATGTTAGCCATACTCTTTACCAGAACCCTGATTTTTATCATCAGTTCACTGTCACAATTAGAGTAATTGGCAACACTTTACTTGAAGCAGTCTACATAAGGGTGACATGTAACCGTCATAAGAATGACATGACATGCACATTAATGACACATGCTCTTCTCATATCATTGTGAGGTCACCTGTGTGTGTGTGTGTGTGTGTGTGTGTGTGTGTGTGGATTATGTTTACATTACATTGTGGAGACCAAATGTACCCCACTTATTTTTACATTGTGAAGACTATTTCTCAGGTCCCCACAAGGATAAGAGAATGCAATCAAAAAACTAAAAATGTGTAATTTGTTTAGTTTCTTATGGTTAAGGTTAGGGCTGGGTAGGGGTTAGAGTCTTCCTGTTGGGATTAGAGTTTTCCCCATAGAAATTAATGGAGAGTCATTACAAAGATATTTAATTACACACCTGTATGTGTGTGTGTGTGTGTGTGTGTGTGTGTGTGTGTGTGTGGATT